CTCACCTTCCAGGAGGGGTGAAGTGGAATGGGGTGACAGTGAAGTTCCCCTGTGGGAATTTCCTCTATGACTCTAAGAACCCAATGGACGCACCAGCCCCACCCCCAGACAGGAAAGCCTATGGAGCTTTGCGCTGGCCACAGGTGCCTCCCAGGCCTCTCTGGTCAGAGACCCCTGCCAGGTCACTCAGCACCATACACCCACACTTACCCACCCCCCCACGCATCCACCCCCTCACACACCCACTCACCCAACCACCTACCCACCCACGTACCCACACCCCCACTCACCCACTCACCCATGCATCCGCCCAGCTGCAAGTTTTGCTTGGGACCTAATGGCCAGCTGATGAGATAGCGACACATTCCTAAAGTCAAAGATCACCCTGTGTCAGGCCTCTCTATCCGACCCCCTGTGGTTAAGGGAATGCCAGACCAGACCCACCACACCCGCCTCTGATCCCCAGCAGAGAGCACACCTTTCCTTTGTCCCCTCCCCCCAGAGACCTTGAGACCCTACCGAACCCCTGCCAGGCGTGGCTCTGCCCCAGCCTCCCCAGAGGTCAGTAGGGTCCACCCGGGAGTTCACCCCAATAAACTTTCGTTTCTTAACTTTACTTGTCTCTGTCCCTGTCTGCACTATGTTAGGTCAGTGACCTGTCACCGATCACACACCCACCCACACACTTACCCATCACCCACTCGCCAACCAGCACCCACTTTCACCCACCCACTCACACACTCACTCAGTTACACACTCACTTATGCACTGATTCATTCACTCACTCACCAACTCGTTCACACACTCATCTATCGACCCACTCATTCACACACTCCTGCACCCACTCACTCACCCATTCGCTCATTCACGAATCACCCACTCACTCACCCACTCATTCATTCACTAATCACCTACTCACTCACCCACCCACTCACCCACTCACCCACTCACTCAGTCACTCACCCACTCACTCACCCACTCACCTACTCACTCACCCACTCATTCACCCACTCATCACCCACTCACTCATTCACTCATTCACCCACTCATTCACTCATTCGTTCACTCACTCATTCACTCACCCACTCACTCACCCAATCACTCATTCACTAATCACCCACTCACTCCCTCGCTCACCCACTCACTGGATATGGAGGGCACTGGTCTGGGAGGCAGGAAGTGGAGCCTGAGAGCCTTGGGCGAAGGTCACAGGGCGAAGGTCACAGACAGCCGGGGAGCCACAGGGGCGGGGTTTTGGCCCCGGTACAATGCAGGGGTGGGGGAGGAGGGTCTCTGAGGAGGGGCTGGTGTCTCACTCTCTGCTTCCCCACTCTGGACCCTGAGCCGTAGACTTCTCCACGCCTGCAAAGGCTCTGCGGACACAAGGGGGCAAAGGCAGGGGTGGCCCTCCTGGCCCCTCCGGAGGCAGCCCAGCCTGGACCCCCCGGGCCCACCCCAATTGGCTGAGGAGCCGCAGGAGAAGGGAAGGCAGGGAGGCCGGGGCGAGTCTCCCAGAGGCCTGCCCTGGGATGTTCCATCTCTGACCCCTGCCAGGAGCTGGGCAGGGTGTGATGGGCAGGAGGGGAGGGGAGTCTGGGCGAGAGGGCCTGGAGGGAGCCGTGGGCAAGCCCCCGCCCCGCGTGCCCCCTGCACCCACACCAACACTGGCGCAGTGGGGAGCCGCATGCAAGGGACGGGGCGGGGAGGGGGTGCAGGGGGACCCCGAGACAGGCACGGGCTTAGATCCAGAATGAGCCACATGCTCCCTTGGCATCATGGGGTGAGGAAGGTCCCACTTTGGGAGGGCGCGGCCCCCTGTGGCCAGCAGCGTCCTCTTTCTCTCCACTCTGAAAAACAGGCCCCTTGGCTCAGGGGCCTGGGGATCTGCGGGATGGGGGCCCCCAGCACACGAGATCGAGAGTCTGCCGGACGGGGTGGGGGGGTCCTGCGCGTCTCGAGCATCTTCTACCACTTCTTCATCACTCGGGTTGAGGGGGATTTGGGGGATCCACAGCCCATGCCAGATGGTGCTCCCAAATCCAGAAGAGGCCAGGACCCCTGAAGGACCAGTTTTCTCTGCCTGGCAGGGTCTCTCAGGGAAGTGCTCGGAGGATACAGCCTCAGGCGGGGCCCCTGTCGGGAAAAGGAATCAGCGGGACCGAGGGGGACTGTTCAGCCCCCAAAAGCCTGACACATGGGGCTTCATGTGACGGGCTGGGAGCAAGTGGCTAGTCAGGCATCCTGGACTCCTCCTGCCCGGCAAGGGGAGAAGCAAACGCCGTGTTCTACAGTCCGCCCCCCACACACACACACACACACGCCAAGGGAGCCCGCCCAGCTGCCAAGAATCACCAGGACCGCCCTGAGCCTTCAAGCCCCGCGTGGACGCGCAGTGACCCCACACGGTGAGCCAGCACGGCAGCATCAACGCCCAGAGCAGTTCCAGGTATGACGCAGGCCAGGGGTGACATTCCTGATGTGTTCAGACCTGCCCTGGCCAGGAGCGGGGCCAGCAGCCAGCCCGGGTGGCAAGGGTTGACGCCCAAACTCGGGCCTGCACCACATGGCGGCCCCCAGGGGCGGGACACAGGAGGAAAGGCACATGTGGGCAAGCGGGCGGTCGGTGCCCCAGCCCGGGCCCACCCACTCCTGCCTCTCTCGGCCCAGGGTCAGGCTGAGGCTGAGGACCCCTTGGTTGAAGGTCTCCCACATCACTCACATCCCCATTACCTGCCCAGCCCGCCTCCGACAGACACTGTCAAAGGCAGGCAGGGTGGGCGTCGGGCCGGGCACAGGAGCTGGGCACTGAGGCACCTCACCTTCCTGTCCCTCTCGGGAAGGGCAGAGCCAGGATGGAAGGACGGAAGGCCTGCACCCCTCCCAAATACGAGCACACCATATCCTGCCAGTGAGTGAGCACTGGGGAGGGGCTTCACACTCATCCCAGCGCTTAGAAGTTTCCAGAAAGATGGTCTGAGGACCATCTCCACCGCCCAGGCTTGAGACGAAATCCCTGTGGGGAACCAGCCACCCACCGTTCCCTGGAGGGTCCCCACACTGTGTCCATGCCTTGGGAATGTAACCTCTGGGCACAGAGCCCGTCCCTCCCCCATCCCCGTGGGCAGCCCTCATTTCCGCCCCAATGCCTCCCACTGCCACCCTGTGCCCAGCTTCACCCTGCCCCCGCCGTGCAATAGCTTCCAGCAGGAGCAGCTATAAAAAGTGGGTGTGAAAATGCTGCAGAAACAGGGAAGATGCAGAGGAACTCAGCACCCCCACCCTGGGAGGGCCCCACCCACCAGGGCAGTGCCCAGCCGCACCCAAGCTTCCGGAGAAGTGTTAGCCTTGGGGACCGGCAGGAGCCATGGCCTGGCCCACAGAGGCATTGGGAAACCCAGGGCGGCCCAGGATGTTACACTGGGTCGAGGGGTTCTGGGGCTGCAGTGATAATACAGCAGGGAGGGCACTTGCCTTGCATGCTGTTGACTTGGCTTCGATCCCTGGCATCCCATAGGCTTCCCCAAGCACTGCCAGGAGTGATCCCTGAGTGCAGAGCCAGAAGTAAGCTCTGAGCACTGCTGGGGCTAAAACAAAAGCAAGCCAAAATACCCCAGAACAAATGGAAGGGTTTAGACAAGATGATGGAGGAGGGCGCTGGCCTTGCCTTGCACAAACCGACCCGGGTCAGTCCCCCCATTCCATGTGGTCCCCCAAGCACCAGGAGTGATCCTTGAGTGCAGAGCCAGGAGTTGGCCTTAGCACTGCTGGGTGCCCCCCCTCCAAAAAAAAACCAAAACGAAACCCCCCAAAACTAGTCTAAGCCCATCAAATTAAAAGGATAAGAAACATATAATAATTTGGTTCAACTATGAAATAGTCTGATCCAAGTATATAAAGATAATAAAGTACACATAAAATACTGTAAGCTTATCTTGGGGAGGGAGGGATTCGTTGGAATTTTGTGGCAGCATCAGAGTCTTGCTAGGCCAGTCCTAGGACACGTGGGCAGAGCGGAGCAATGGTGCTGCCTCCGAACCCCGTTGGTGCACCAGAAGGGGCCTTTTGGGCCCAGGAAAGAGGCGTTAATTTGTGCATCTTTTTTTTTCTTTTTGGGGAGCTGGGGGAAGCAATATGGGATACCCGGGGTCGAACCCGGGTCTGCCGCGTGCAAGGCAAACGCCCCACCCGCTGTACTATTGCTCCAGCTCCATCTACGCATCTCTTTTGGGGGGTGCTAGAGCACTTCGCAGATGAGAAGGCAGACCCAGGCCTCTCCACTCAGTGCTCCTAGAAGGTCCCATGCAGGCCAAGCTCAGCTTGGGCGGAGGTCGGGTGGGAATCCAGAGGCTGCTCACCGAGGCCTCCTGCCCGGCCACACCTGCTCAGGCACCCTCGCAAGGGGCAGGAAGGGTCTCTGGGCTGGCAGAGGGAAGTGGACACTGGACTTGCCTGCACCCAAACAACGCCTCGCCCGCGTTGGGGTCCTCGGGGGCCCCCAGGGCGAGGGGTGCGGCGCCGCCCACCCACCAGGCCCCACGCAATCAAGCCAGGGGCTGCCCTGCCCCATCCCTACAGGCCCCGCCCCATCCAGCTCAGAACCCGCCCCTAGCCCGCACAGTCCCCGCCCATCCCTCCAAGCTCCTCCCAACCCAGCCCCGGGTTGCCCCATCCCTGCTCAGATCCGGCTCCATCCCGCTCCAGCCCCGCCCCATTTCGAGAAGGACTCGCCCACCTTCAGGCCCCGCCCCATCCAACCCTGGGGTTTCCCAATCCCCTCTCGGTCCTCGCCCCATCCCGACTGGGCTCTGCCCACCCCCCCAGGCCCCTCCCGATCCAGCACCCAGGTTGCCCGATCCCTTCTCAGGTCCGAATCCATTCCGCTCCGGCCCCGCCCCATCCCAACCTGGCCCCGCCCACCCCTCCAGACCCCGCCCCATCCAGCCAGGATTGGCTCAGCCTCGCTCAGGCCCCGCCCCAGCCCGCCCCCGCCATCTGGCCGCGCTCGGCCTGCCGGGGAGGCGCGGGGGCGCATCGGTGCGGAGCTCTGGGAGGCCTCTGGACCGCGGCCGCGAGGCGGTGAGTCTGGGGTCCGTGGGCAGCCACGGGGCGGGGGCGGCCCGGACGGGGTGCGGGGCGGGCGGCCCGGGGCGCTGCCCGGACGGGAGCGAAGACGGAGCGGCCTCGGCCCCACGCCCGCGGGGGGTCCGTCCCGGCCTGCGCCCGCCGGCCCGCGGCGCCCACGGGGAGTTCCGATGCCGTGAGGGTTCTGGCGGACCTCCGGTTCTGAGGACGCGCCCGGGTTCCAGCCGGCCCCGGGGAGGAGCGGGGCGGCGGGGCCCCGGGCGCCGTGCGGTGCCCGCAGCCAGCCCGGCCTCCCCCGGCAGGCGGACTCCTGCAGCCCGTGACGCCGGGGGACGCGCGGCCCCGTCGCGATGAAGGCCTCGCTGGCCGTGCCGCCGGCCCTGCTGCTGGCCCTGCTGCTCGCCGTGGACCCAGGTGAGCGTCCCACGCTGCTGCCGGTGCACCCGGCGCCGGGCGCCCCGCGGCGGGGGCTGCCGCCGGCGATGCCTGCGCGCAGAGGTCACCGCAGCCTGTCCCCTCCGCAGCGCGAGCCCTGGTGTGCTTCTCCTGCACCAACCAGAAGAGCAACTTTTACTGCCTGAAGCCCACCGTCTGCTCAAGCTCGGACAACTACTGCGTGACCGTATCGTCGTCGGGGGGCATTGGTGAGTGTGGGCGGCCCGAGGAGAGTGAGGACCCACGGTGAGCGTGGGCGGGCAGGGATACAGGGGCCTGAGGATGAGTGAGGGAGGACAGGTCCGGGTGACTGGGCCTGCAGGGGAGAGCGAGGGCTGGGGTGGGTGTGTGCGAGCAGGGGTGAGTAGGGTGAGTGTGGGGGGGATCAGGAGGAGTGAGTGTGGGCAGGCAGGGGTGAGTAGGGTGAGTGTGCAGGGATGTGGATGAGTGAGTGTGGGCAGGGGTGAGTAGGGTGAGTGTGGACGGGCAGGGGCGAGTAGGGTGAGTGTGGGTGGGCAGGGGTGAGTAGGGTGAGTGTGCAGGGATCTGGATGAGTGAGTGTGGGCAGGGGCGAGTAGGGTGAGTGTGGACAGGCAGGGGCGAGTAGGGTGAGTGTGGGCAGACAGGGGCAAGTAGGGTGAGTGTGTGAGGATCAGGATGAGTGAGTGTGGGCAAGCAGGGGTGAGTAGGGTGAGTGTGGACAGGCAGGGGTGAGTAGGGTGAGTTTGCAGGGGATCGGGATGAGTGAGTGTGGGCGGGCAGGGGTGAGTAGGGTGAGTGTATGGGGATCTGGAGGAGTGAGTGTGGGCAGGCAGGGGTGAGTAGGGTGAGTGTGGGCAGGCAGGGGTGAGTGGGGATTGGGATGAGTGAGTGTGGGTGGGCAGGGGTGAGTAAGGTGAGTGTGGACAGGCAGGATTGAGTAGGGTGAGTGTGGACAGACAGTGGCGAGTAGGGTGAGTGTGGGCCGGCAGAGGTGAGTGGGGATGTCAGTTGAGGCCGGAACGACCCCCACCCCGGGCCTCTCCTCAACCTTTTTTCCTGTTCAGGCAACCTGGTGGACTTTGGCTACAGCCTGAACAAGGGCTGTTCCCCCATATGCCCCGGCCCCAGCGTGGACGTGGGCGTGGTGGCCGTGTCCACCCACTGCTGCCAGAGCTTCCTGTGCAACTTCAGTGCCGCAGATGGCGGGCTGCGGGTCAACGCCGCCGTGCTGGGCCTGGGGCTTCTGCTCAGCCTCCTGCTGGCACTGCAGCAGCTGCACCCCTGACCTCGGCCGGGTCACTGCCCCCTGTCCCCCCTGCAGTGCCCACTGGAGCTGCCCTGCCTGCACCACCCAGAGACGACTGCAGCTCTCGCTCCCCGCCCCGCCCTCACCCCTACCCGGCTGACCCCCAGCCCTGGGACTCGGGGCCAGGGAAGCAGGTGGCTCTCCAGGGACCTGGAGTGGGGGACAGGAGAGCAGCATGAGGGGCCCCCGGATCCAAAGCCAGTGTCCCTGACACTCCTAGGCCTCGCCCCACTCTGCTTGGGTGGTCTGGGGCAGGGCCCACTGCTCCCCAGGGCAGGCCCGGGCTTCTACACCCCAAATCCACACTGTCCCCTGCCCCCACCGGAGCCCTCCCGCTGCTTCGTGCCTCAATAAACACATCCTCACCCTTTCGGCTGTGTGGAGTGGGGACTGGGGGGGTGGTGTGCAGGGGCCAGGCCTTGACACGACACGACAGGACATGCTGTGTAGGCATGGACAGGGACTCCAGGGAGGGACAGTCCCCAAGCTGTAGGGAGGGGACGACTTGGGCCAGCTACACGGAGGCATCTGGAAGCTGGGCTGGGACGGACTGTGGGGAACGAACGCTTTGCCTGCAGCGAACCCAAGTTCGTCAGGGGCACAGCAAAGGGTCCTGAGCTCCAAGTGGCCTGAGCAGCAGGAAATGCCTGGGGGAAGGGGCCCCTGACCTGCTCTGCCTGAGGGGCTAGGGGACTTGGCTCCGCACACGCACACAGGGGAAGGGGGAGGAGCAGGAAGGAGCAGGAGCACTTGGGTTTCGATTTCCCCAAGGCTGAGAGTGGGGCTGGGGGGGCGGGGAGGGGAGTGGCACCTGCCGGTGGTGCCTCCACCCTCTTCAGTATTAACTCTCTGTCTCCCAAGTTCACTTTTCAGAGGGCCTTGGTGGGTCACTGCAGCACCCCCAAGTGATTCTTTCCCACTTCCTAGAGAGGGGCAGTGCACCCCCAGCCCTAGGGAGCTTTGGGGGAAGGGGCTTCCAGCCAGCTGCTCCCTTCTCCCTCCCGGGGTCTGCAAAGGTCAGGTGGGAAGGTGGGGGAGTGAGAGGGTGATGGCCCTGGGGGGCAAAGGGGGAGGGGCGGGGCCCCAGGGGTGACAAAGTAAGAGGGTGGGGGGGCCCTGGGGGTGAGGGGGGAGTGGGTGCCCCTGGAGGTGTGGCTGCTCTGACACCACCACCCCCACCCCCCCAGGCTGTGCCCTGAAGCCAACAGAAAGCAGGAACCTGGTCCCCAGTCTGGGCGTGGAAGAACACGTGCACCCACAGGGACATATGCCCTGTTTCATGTTCATGTGGTGCCTCCACATGTGTCATGAGATCTGTGTCACTGTCACGTGTGTCACTGTTCACATGTACCACATAGCATGTGTGCATCACGTGTGCTACAGGTCATGTATCCTGTGTGTCACAAGTGCAGTGTGCCATGTGTGTAACATGACGTACCACAGCCCCGAAGCCTGGTGTGACGATTCTCCCCAACACTCAGCATTCCTTTCCCAACTGATCTTGGCTCCGGCTGGAGTTCAGGGTGGGGTGAAGTGCGGGCTGGTTCGGTTTCTGGGCCTGGAAGGGGATGCCTCCTGCCGCCAGCACTTCCTGTGCCCCCGCCGCGTCTTGGGCTCGGGTGAGTGTTCCTTTTGCCGTGGCTGCTGTGGTCTGGGTGCGGGGCGTGAGGCGGTGGCCACGGCTGTACGTGCTGCGGGTCACACAAGCCTTGTGGGAGTCTGCGTGTGCTGGGTGTACCGAGGAGACCCTGGAAGGCTGCTCTCCTCTCTGTGAAGGAGCCGGGCATTGGACTCCATCCTGCAGTGCTCAGGGCTCACTCCTGGTGGGACTCGGCCCGTGGTTGTCATGTGCAGGCCAGCACCCTGCCCTGCCCAGCCCAGCTACCCAGAGTTTTGGCTGTTAGACATGGCGGAGGTGGGGGGGGGGTGCGTTCAGGTTCCTTACCATGGGCAGGCATGGGGTGAGCCCTTTCTGGCTCTCTTGACAGTGCTCTACATACTCCTCCAGTAGTGCTGCCCTGCATCCTTGCGGGGTTCCCTCCAGCCAGGAAGGTGAAGTGGCAGACAGATAGGGAAGGACCCCGTGGCCACGAGTTCTTGGGAAGCCGTGAAGCCCACAGCCCAAAGGCAGCCTGGCCCCGCCTGTGGACACAGGGACTCTGGCAGGATGGCCGGAGGAGACCTTGACCTGGGGCCAGCTCAGGCCCAGAGACCCCCTGAGAGAGACGCTCCAAGGGAGCCAAGGCCCGGAGGGGAACCCAAAGGAGAGTCAGCCTCGCCCGGCCCTGCCCCCGCTGGCCACCACCCCAGCCTCGACCCTGCCCAGGCAGAGGCCCTGCAGGGGCAGCTGCAGGGGACCCTGGGAAAACCGCTTGGGAACAAAGGACGCGCTGCTGCCGGGTGCTGCCCAGCTCATGGGGGGCCCCCCGGAGCACGTATGTCACCCACACCTACACACACACACACACACACACACACACACACATATGCTAGGGCTCCCTCTGCACTCTGGAAAAGCTCATGCTCTCATGCTCTGTCTCTGTCTCTGTATCTTTCTGTCTCTCTGTCTCTTTGTCTCTCTCTCTCTCTCCACCCCTACCTCACTTTCTCAGAACCTGTTTTTACTTCACTGCTCATCTCCTCCTCAGCAGTGCTGAGGGGTTGCTTCTGGTTCTGCAGAGTGCTGGGATCCAAACACCCCACCCACCATACTCTGCTTTGGCTCTGAAAGACCTGGGTCATGACGCTGGAGGCGAGGCGGAAGCGGGCCTCTGTGTTCCTTTGCAATTCCTGGGTTCTTCATTATTTTCTCAGTCTCAGAGTTGGAAAGTTGAAAGGCTTATTGCAAAATAGAAGAGAGAAGGAAAGGAGCTCCCCAAGCGGGGAGGAGCTTAGCACAGGACTAAGTTAAGGGAAGGGAGTTTTTTGTAGACCTTTTAAGGACTCCCGGCACCCCTTATCAGTTGCCATCAGTTGCCGAGTGTTTACAAAAGATGGAAATTACGGGGCTAGAGCAATAGCACAGAGGGTAGGGTGTTTGCCTTGCACACGGCAGACCCAGGCTCAATACCCAACATCCCATATGTTCCCCTGAGCACCGCCAGGAGTAATTCCTGAGTGCAGAGCCAGGAGGAACCCCTGTGCATCACCGGGTAAGACCCAAAAAGAAAAAAAATAATTAAAAAAAAAGATGGAAATTACAATGATGTCCAGCTGGTCTAAAGCTCTTTGGGCGTTTTCCCCTTATCTTAGTCTCCTGTCGGCCGAGGCTCCGGAACAGTTTTATGGTTCTGAAAATCTCTAGGACTGTTGGGGCTTGACTTTGGGAATGAAACGTGTGACAGGCCGGTGGGGGAAGGGCGGCGAGGGGAAACGGCTCCCTTCCGCCGTGGCAGGGGGAAACCAGGCCCAACTGCTGATGATTCCAGTTTCCCCTCAGCCTAGACTCCAGGATTGCCCTTTATCTTAGTTTCCCAATCAGCCTACACTCCAGGTCAGAGTTTGATGTTCCCAGGAAGCCCCAGGAATGCCGAGGCAGAGCCTGGGGTGGAATGTGTCAGGCTGAGGGGGGAGAAGTGGGACATCTGCAGGGAGAAAACTGTGGCTGGCCACTGACACTGAGGCATCCCCGGTCGGCAAGGCAAAGTCTGGGTAAAGCTGGTGAGGGCTTGGCTAGGGCCTGGATAAGCCCTGGTAAGGCCAGGTAAGGCCCGGGCAGGCTGGGAAGGCCTGACTCTCCTTCCTTGCAAGGAGCAGGGCTCTCAGCTCACTTTTTTTTTTTATCTTATTTATTTATTTAGATTTTTATTAGTGACAAACCAAGAGGTACAGTTGTAGACTTACAAATTTTTGTGCTTGGGTTTCAATTACACAATGATCAAATACCCATCCCTCCACCAGTGCCCATTTTCCACCACCACGGGTCCCAGTATCCCTCCCACCCCCCATCCCCCCATCCCACCCTGCTCTGTGGAAGGGCATTCCCTTTTGTTCTCTCTCTCCTTTTGGGTGCTGTGGTTTGCAAGAGAGGCAATGAGTGGAAATCATGCTTGGTCTATAGTCTGCTTTCAGCATGCTTCTCCCATCCTGGGAGGATCCTCCCAACACCTTTATTTGGTGCTCCCTTCTCTATCTGAGCTCCCTTTTCCCCTAGCATGTGTGGCTGGCCTCCAAGCCATGGAGCAAATCTCCTGGTACTAATCTCGGCCACTCTTGGGTGTTAGTCTCCTATTTTGTTACTTTATGTTCCCCAGAAGAATGCAATCTTTCTATGTCTATCCCTCTCTTTCTGACTCATTTCACTTAACATGAGACTTTCCATGTAGTACACTTGTATGTAAATTTCATGACTTCATCTTTCCTAACAGCTACATAGTACTCCGAGATCTGCAGCTGTTCCCAGGGGCAGATTTCTAGAAAGTGGCGTTTCGCTGCTCGAAGCTGCTGCCGCCCCCCTCTGTGCTTCACCTCAGTCACCCGGGGCCCCCACCATTGTCAGAGGAACACCCGGTCCCTGCCTCCCTGACTGCCTGCCGCGCCTCATAGCTGTAGGAAATGTCTTTCCCGGCCGGCATGACGCTCTTGGTGGCTGCAGGCACGTCCCCTTCCCCGCTGCCCATCCGTCTCACCGGGGCCACTGTCAGTCACTTCTACACCGTTTCACTGTTGACAAGGTGGGGCTGAAGCCTGAGTTCTGCCACTCAAAGATTGTCTGTGAGGACTGAAGAGCAAAGCACACAGGCAGCAGAAGACACTGGCACGCTTGGGAACGCCAGGCCTTGTTCAAGGAAGTGGAACTGAAAGTCTCAGAAGGCAGGAAGGCGCCTGCCCACGGAACGGCCAAGCTGGGTCTCCCAGCCACAGCAGGGGCAGACAGCACGAGCCCAGGGTACTGCCAGCAGGCTGTGGCCAGAGCATCTGAGTGCGGTCAGGGGCCAGGCACCCTGCCCGGGAAACTTGTCCAGCACGTGTGATCCCAGGCCCCATGGGGCAGCATGGAGGCCCCAGTGCCTTAGTTCTGCCCAGCCTCTACAGCCATGCCTTTGGCTTTGTAGCACCTCCTGAAGCTTCCAGCAGTCACTGAGCAGGAGGGGACTTGACCCGTATGTGTGTGTGTGGGGGGGGGGGTGCAGACCCATGGGGCCCATCCCCAGCATGTCCACCTGCATGCAGAACCAGCCCCTCAAGGCGCTGCCCTCCCGAAGCCACATTACGTATTTTTTTTGTTTTGTTTTGCTTTGCTTTTTGGGTCACACCCAGTGATGCTCAGGGGTTATTCCTGGCTCTGCACTCAGGAATTACTCCTGGTGCTTGGGGAACCATGTGGGATGCCGGGGACCGAACCC